TGGCAGCCCAGAGACGAGGCTGTGTCCCTTCTCTGCAGATGATGCTCCTCTCAAGTGTGCAGCACTGAGTGAAACCCTCATCCCCAGGAGCCTGTCTGCCTCTGGCAGCTGAGACTTCGGTTTTCCATATTTAAAGATGTCCAGGAGAACTACAAAAGTCTTGGGGTGCAAGCATTGGATTACTTTGACCCTGGAACAGTCACAGTGTTAAGTAGTAAATTTTTATTCCATGTATGACTACATACATACTGTGTTATTAAAAGTCTACACAGGGCTCTGGATGGTGCGGAGAAGTGCCACCAGCCCACAGTACCCAGCATCGAACACCACTGCTCAGCTTGAGGGACCCTGTGCCAAGACAACAAAGACCAGGCAGCACCCACCAGCTCTGGGGTATTTGCCTTAGGGGAGCAATGCCCTAAGCTTGAGATGTCAGGTGTAGGGGTTCCCAGGTTCATACTATGTGCCTAAGTCAACCTGGATCAGTAATTTCTGTGAGAAGGAAGCTCTGCACAGGAATGTGCATTGAACCTCCTGCAACTGGAGTTACCTGGACACTGGCAAAGCTCCTGCGCTGCATCAGAAAACCTGCCCACAAACCCCTAGTTCAGCACGACATACGGCTAAAGAGAACCAGCCTGGAACAGCCCCTCCACTTCTGCTTTGTCCATGCCAGGGTCACTGTGTGAGGGCTGGGGCTCTCTCTGGCTGCCGGGGCAGTGTGTCTCTCAGACAGGAGCTGGTGGTGGTGGTCTCCAGGAGGCAGGGTGCTGCCTGCAGACACACAGCCCACCTCAGAATTTCCAGCAGCCTCGAGCACTTTTGTTTTTTCCATCCTATATTCTGCACAAGTCATAGCAGTATTGATGATATCTCTGTGAGGAGAAACATGACTGGGTGCTCCTGGCACTATGCAGATGACTGCACTGTGTTATCAGCTGAACTTCTCTGGGATTTTTTTGTTTAGTTGTTTGGTTTTGTTTTTTTTTTCTTCAGCCACCAAATACCAGAAGTCCTTTTCTAGCAAAAGTGCTGATTTCTCTGCAGCTAAAGTGCAACAAACCCATTCAAGGAAATGCTGGGAAGTGAAATGGATCAAAAGGCAGCTCTTCAAATGCTCCTGCTGGCCTGGTGAAATGCCACGGGGACAGTGGCTTTAAAAAGTCCCCCTTTACTCCAGAGTCAGTGTAGGAGAGGGGGACTCACCAGACAGGGCTAGTGTTTCACAACCCTGGGTGCTATATAAAGCCATGGAGGCTTTGCTTTCCAGCACTAAGCAGCATTTCTACCCAGATCTACACTAACTTTGTAGATGGTAATGGTGCAACTGATGAGTCATAGCCGCAAATATTAATTCTCTATTAGCACACTTACACTGCTAAGCCTGTCTGGAGTAACACAACCATAGAGAAATTAGCAGAGGAAGTAGAAAAATGACTGAGAGAAACTTTGACTGAAAGATAGGAAAGTGGGCATGAAACCTAGCAAAACACAGCACAAAACATTAGAGATTTGATGATAGCCGGGTCTTTTACTGGTATACTCTACCATCAAAGCAGGATGGGGCATCAGCTTGGAAGCAGTGGCCTGCCTGGCAAGCTGGTGGGCTCCTCCCATCTGGGCTCACAGGAGTTATGGTGCCCATAGGGAGCTGCTAAGGATATGTGCAAGAGTGGACCTAAGTGTGGACAGACTTCCCATCACTCATGTCTTCAAATCAAGCCTGGAAAATGTCCCAGATTGATGAGAGTCTGTGGCATTAAGAGAAGAGAAAACCCCGCTTGCACCACGGCTGCCTCCTTGCTCGGTCACTGCCTGCCTTCGGTTGACCTACTTGAGTCATGGGGAGACAACAAGTGAGAAGACATCCTGCACTGTGGTTGGCACTGACACTGACTGGGGAGAAAAAGGTGCTTCTCCCAGGGGCTGCTCCCTGTCCCACATCGGTGGGGGGAGCAGGAGCACAAGGAGAGCACCCTGAGGCAGGGCCAGTGAAGAGACTGGTTCTTGCTTACATCCATGTGTCACACCAGCCTGGCCCTTGTCCCTGTGCTGCAGTGCGAAGTAAAAAGCTGGTTTCTCTTCTTCTGGCCAGAGCAAGTGACATTACTGGTGCCTCTCTCCCAGCTGATGTGTGGGAGAGATGGTGCAAACTGAAGGAACAGGCTGGGTGGTGGGGAAAGGAGCTGGGCTCTGGGTAAACTCCTACAGAGACCAGGCTGGGTGCTAAACCAGACACATTAAGTATGTTCAGACATGTGTTTGCTGCTTGCCAGTGTTTGTCTTTCTTGGGTTTCAAAGGAAATACATCCACCTGTCGAGTCATTGCTTGGTGTGTCTTATCCGATCATTGCCCCTCCATGAGACACATCCCAGGCATCCCCGGGGAGGTCTGCAGGGGCAGGATGTGTGTCTGACCCTCCTCCCAAGGCTGCTGAACCTGGGGCAGTGGAAGGCAAGCAGTGCTGCTACTGACTGTGGCCCTCTCTGCATCCCCAGGCAGGCACGAGCACTAAAGGTTGCTCAGAGTTGGGACAGAAAGGAGAGGCAGGCTTTGCTTGTTGGTTTGGTTTGTACTGAAAAATCTTTTTCTTGGTTGTGCAAACTTGTTTTTTTGCAGGTAAGGGGATCAAAACCAAAAAAACTCCACACAGAGGAGAACTGGATTTGTGTTTGGTGTATCTTGGGCTGGGAAAGAGCATTAGGAGCTGGACCTGCAGAGAATAGCAGCAGAGACAGGCTGAGCTCCTTACACATCAGGGGAGCATCCCTGGGGCCAGCTAAGGCTGTCTCCAGTTATAAAGGGAGCAGGGCTGGAGCTGGGGTCTCTGTGACTGGGGGTTTGCTCAGAGCAGAGGTGGGACAGAGGTTTTGCTTTACCTATTGAAGTGCTATGGATGGGATAGAGGGGAACCCCAGCAGCTGTGCCCCAACACTGATGTGGCTTTGCATGTGAGCTGGTGGATTCAGCTGCTGCAGCTCCCTCCCTGCCCAGGGCAGATACCATGAAAAGAGAAGAAATGCTGCAAAAAACAAGGCAATTTGGACTCTTTTCCCCATCCCCAGCCTTGAAAGAAGCCGTGGAAAAGACTGGCTCTTGCTTACATCCATGTCATGCCAGCCTGACCATTGTCCCCATGCTGCAGTTAGGGGAAAATAGTAGTCTCAGTGGAATAAACTTTCTTCCTTGCTCAGGTCTGTTACGTGTTGTACATGTACCGCAGATGCATCTGAAGAGAAGTGTTTTAAGATTCTAAAAAACCTGTATACACCAAAAAAGTAAATGATCCCTAAAACACTGGATGAGAAAGAGATGGTTTAACAAGAAAATATGTCACCAAATTCCTGAACTATAACTTACTACTTTTGCAGTCTTGCTGTGAAAGTGTTTCAGTTGCTAATGTCAGTGTGGAGCCTGTCTGAAGAGTTGTACCCATCTATCTAAAAGGAAATGAAGTGCAAAAAATACTCCAAGTATTTGTTTAACATGTGAGTTCTGGTGGCATTGAAGGAGGGGGCAGGTGGTCATACACCCCCTGGTTACTGCACCTGACTTGGTAAGGAACTGGGAAACTTCTCAGCAAAGAAGGCAACTGCCCAAAGGCATATGGGATGCTAGGAAGAGACTTCTGAGACTGTACAGGGCTTACTGTGGGATGTCTAGGGGAAGGAGCAAATGGGAAACAGGGAAGAATCAAGATGGTTTGGGGAGGAACTAGTGTGGGGAAAAGGGGACAAAAGGGCCTGCTTAGATGCTTATATGTCCTGTGCCTGGTCACTGTGGCGCAGCCTGTGAGACTGGGGTACAGGTGAGTATGTTGGTGAGTACAACTGCTAGCAAATAACAAGCCAGGCCAGCTGAAAACTAGGATCACAGGTTCAGGAGAGATTATATGTCTAAGACCAGCAGCTGAAGGAATCTAGATTGTGTGAATGTATGTGTGTGTGTATGTGTGTATATATATATACACATATATCTGTATATACACACAGCCTTCCAATACTCAAAGGGGGGCAAAAGAAAGGTGGAGAGGGACTATTTAATAAGGACATGTAGTGATAAGACAAAGGGAATGGATTTAAGCTGAAAGAAGGTATATTTAGATAAGATATTAGGAAAAAAAATCTTCACTGTGAGGGTGCTGAGGCACTGGCACAGGTTGCCCAGAGAAGCTGTGGCTGCTCCATCCCTGGCAGTGTTCAAGACCAGGCTGGACGGTGCTTTGAGCAAACTGGTCTAGTGGAAGCTGTCCCTGGCTATGGCAGGGGGTTAGAATTGGGTGATCTTTCAGGTTCCTACCAACCCAAAACATTCTATGGTTCTATGATATTTTCTGCTAATGGACTTTAGTCCTGATGAGCCAGAGAGAGTAACAGGATGAGGACACTGCTTCTGTTTGTACGAGGACTGCATTTTCTGCCTGCACTGATCTGCGTGGCTCTGTGTATATGTGTATATATATATGGGTACTGTGGGTGTATGGATGGATTTGCTGTGTGCATGCAGACTCAGCCTTGCTGCTGTCTGGACCCAAGGAGGCAGAACTGCAGGAGACTTACCTCTGTTTGCTGCCAGATATGGCAAACCAAACACAAACCAACCTCAGCACAGGCTTCCCCAGCAGGATTCTGGTAGGACCCCATACCTGCTTGCCTGCCTGCAGAGAACTGTCCCCTTTCAAGCCTGTCCAGGGTGGCTGGGTGTGGGGTATGCTAGAGCAGGAGGCCAAAATGTGCCCCTGAAGTCCAGTTGTATTCATGTCTCTAGGGAAGAAACTAGGCAGGGCTGCTTATGTTTCACCTAAGGACTAGTGAAAGTGGCATGTGAAGAAAACAAACACAGGTCAACTTCAAACACTGGTGGTGAGGGGCTGACTCCTTGGTTCCACCCTTGTTTCATACTGCTGCACCCCTTGTACTACTTGTGTGTGTCCCTCGAGGCTAGCAGTATGGTGGCTGCATGGAAAGTGTGTCCACGCAGCCAGAACCCCCAAAGAGTGTCTGGGGGTTCTGGCTGCGACTACAGCCTTTGTGCTGTCCCACGCTTTAAAGCCCACTGGAGCATGAATGCTGCTATGTGTAATACAGAAAAAACCTCTGGCTGGGATTAGTCATTTTTGGCTCTTGAAACTGCCTTGCAGCCCTCTGAACTGGCACTGCAGAGGGGCTGCATGCACTCCTCTGTAGAGCTCCAGTGCATACCAAAATACGTATGATGGTTGTGGGTACCCCTGTCCACAGCACCCACAGGCTGCTCCTGCCAATGCACATGGCCTCCTGCCTGCTACCCCACATGGGCCCTGGCTGCTTGCTTCATTGTTGTAGAGGAATCATAGAGCAGCTGGAAAATACTTCCTGCCCATTCCGTGTTACTGGCTTATGTCACGAAGATGGTACACTTTGCATTAGATGAGCCTGAAAGCTTCAAGGGCTATTTGCTTGGGGCACCTAGGGAAGAAGGGGCCAAAGACCACTTGCTTTTTGGAGATATGGGCCTTTTCTCACCCCAAAGTAGAAGTTTAAACCTATAGAAACCTGTTGTAATAGGGACTTTTTGATCAGTCATTCAAACTACATCAAGACAATTCAGTCTATTGCAAATAAAAGGAATAAAGAATAAAAAGAGAAAAACTGAGAGCAGGTTATTTCTGTCTGCCATGTTAGAGCAGAGGTTGGCACCAGGTCCCAGCAACCTCCCTCTTACAGTGTCCAGAGAAGGAAACAGTGAAGCTGTGGGGAAGATCTGTCAGGACTTGTCATGACCAAGGTGAGTTTCTGAAGGTTTCGGATAGATATTTCCTAGTATAGAAATGATTAAGCTGGGCGCAAGTGTTATAGTCAGTGGGTTTTATAGTGTGTAAAGATCATTTAATTGCTGAAAAAGTGGTCAAGGCTTAAGGAGTAGTGACCATGATCTGATTACAGTTACGATGACCAAACAGAGGGCAGCCCCAGCCAGTAATACAACTACCAGATGTTTTAAAAGGGCTAAGGTAAACTGGGGTAATTGTGAGCAAAACTGACCAGGTGGAAAAAAAAGTAAGGAATGACAGTGAAAGGAAAGTTAAAGAGCTCTTTAAGAAGTGTTTAAGAACCAGCAAAGGAAACAATTTAACCAGAAGTTTAGCCTGACAGCCGTTAGAAAACAATACTCAGGAAACAGGAAAAGGAAAGAGTTCATATTGTCCAAGAGGGAGATGATATGAAGCATCATGCTGGTCAAAATGCTTTGGTTGACACCAGATATTGATTCAGTTTCTGGAGTTCCATAAATAATCAATAAATTTTTCCTGATGAAACTGATGGTGAGAGGCAGATGAGGCAGTATGGCATGTATCCTGATTAGAGAAGGGTGAGCATTTTGTCCCAGTGAAACATCTGTAGAGGGTGAATTGACTCATGTTATCAAGTAGGAAATGGCACTGCACATGGATCTTTCTCACTGGGCTTGACTGGGGCAGGAGTGTTGTCTAACCCTTCTCAACCTCTTTATTGCAACAGTTTGAAGTAAATGTAAGGCCATCACCACTGATTAAAAAGTGCAAGCGACACATGGTAAAGGCCGGGGTTTGCAAAAAAAGCTAGTGTAATCGCCAGCCTCTGTCCTAGAAAGATCACAAGGTCTTAAACCCCCATCTCCTTACTGCAGTCTCTGCTTGCCCAGCAGCCACCTGCTCACAGAATCATAGAACAGTTAGGGTTGGAAAGGACCTGCAGATCATCAAGTTCCAACCCCCCTGCCATGGGCAGGGACACCTCATACTAAACCATGTCATCTAAGGCTCTGTCCAACCTGGCCTTGAACACCGGCAGGGATGAAGCGTTCACAACCTCCCTGGGCAACCCATTCCAGTGCCTCACCACCCTAACAGTAAGGAACTTCCTCCTTATATCCAATCTAAATTTCCCCTGTTTAAGTTTTAACCCATTACCCCTTGTCCTATCACCACAATCCCTAATGAAGAGTCCCTCCCCAGCATCCCTATAGGCCCCCTTCAGATACTGGAAGGCTGCTATGAGGTCTCCACGCAGCCTTCTCTTCTCTAGGCTGAACAACCACAGCTTTCTCAGCCTGTCTTCATACAGGAGGTGCTCCACTCCCCTGATCATCCTCGTGGCCCTCCTCTGGACTTGCCCCAACAGTTCCATGTCCTTTTTATGCTTAGGACACCAGCACTGCACACAATACTCCAAGTGAGGTCTCACAAGAGCAGAGTAAAGGGGCAGGATCACCTCCTTCAACCTGCTGGTCACGCTCCTTTTGATGCAGCCCAGGATACAGTTGGCTTTCTGGGCTGCAAGCGCACACTGCAGCCAGCTCATGTTCATTTTCTCATCAACCAACACCCCCAAGTCCTTCTCCACAGGGCTGCTCTGAATCTCTTCTCTGCCCAACCTGTAGCTGTGCCTGGGATTGCTCCAACCCAGGTGTAGGACCTTGCACTTGGCATGGTTAAACTTCATGAGGTTGGCATCAGCCCACCTCACAAGCGTGTCAAGGTCCCTCTGGATGGCATTCCTTCCCTCCAGCGTATCAACCGAACCACACAGCTTGGTGTCATCGGCAAACTTGCTGAGGGCGCACTCAATCCCACTGTCCATGTCAGTGACAAAGATGTTAAACAAGACCGGTCCCAACACCGATCCCTGAGGGACACCACTTGTTACTGGTCTCCAGCCAGACATTGAGCCGTTGACCACAACTCTTTCCATGCGGCCATCCAGCCAGTTCTTTATCCACCGAGTGGTCCATCCATCAGATTGATGTCTCTCCAATTTAGAGACAAGGATGTTGTGTGGGACAGTGTCGAATGCTTTGCACAAGTCTGGGTAGATGATGTCAACTGCTCTACCCCCATCCATCAGTTCCTTAGCCCCATCATAGAAGGCCACCAAATTGATCAGGCAGGATTTCCCCTTAGTGAAGCCATGCTGGCTATCACCTCTATTACTTGCAGGAGGAAGTTGTCCTCCACACAATTGAGGAATCTCCTGGATAGCTTGTGCCGGGCCATACCATCCCTCCAACAGATATCAGGGTGGTTGAAGTCCCCCATGAGGTCAAAGGCCTGTGAGAGTGAGGCTGTTCCTATCTGTTTGTAAAGCGCTTCATCCACAGAGTCCTCTTGATCAGGACATCTGTACCAGATCCCCACAGTAATGTCCCCCATTGCTGTTGGCCCTTTGACCATGACCCTCAAACTCTCTGTTGCCTGCTCACCTGTTCCCAGACAGAGTTCCATACTCTCCAGCCTATCCCTAACATAAATAGCAACTCCCTCTCCCCGTCTGCTGGGCCTGTCTTTTCTTAGAAAAGAGCTTGTAACCTTTCGTTCCAACACTCCAGTCATAGGAGCCATCCCACCATGTTTCTCTGATACCTAATGCATCATTCCAGCTATTTCAGGGAGCTAATAAGGCTAGTAAGAGGTAATATCTGTGCCTGCATGTCTTCCTCAACATCCTGCTTGCAATTCCTAGCATGCTTAAAAGAAGTGAATAGGTTAGAGACCCACAGGGAAAATCAAGAGCTGGAATAAAACCTCATTTTCAGGAGCAACAACTTTGGGAGTATCTTTGTTAGTCAAAAACCTCCCATGGAGGTAATGAGGGGAAGCAGACATATCAGTGATGACAGTTCCAGGTAGGCCAAGAGAAACCACTTCCTTCACCCAGAGCCAAACTGTGTCTGGAGCATCACTGGCTTCATATCTTTCCTGGGGTTTTCTAGCACCACAGGAATGACTGAGCTGGCTGAGTCAGGGAGCTGTGCATTTCTGAATGTCAGTTACAGAATTATTTCTTTTTTTTTCATAGGTTGGTATTTCTCTTTACCACAAAAAAAAAAAAAAGTCTTATTTTCTCACCTGATATCTTGTGGTGTGATGGTATGGTGGGATTTCTGACTGAAGCAGCTACTGAGGAAAAGGAAGGGAGATTGGTGCGATGAAGTTCACTTTGACCTTTTAAAGGTGCCACAGTGGACTCTTAGTTCCTACCCACTCAGCTGATACTGTGGTAAATGAAGTTCACTCTGAGGAATAGAAGAGTACAGTCCACAGGGGTTCACTGCAAAGAGATAATGCTCAGGGCAAAAGATCACTGCCAGCAATGGAAAATCTCATGTCTTGTCAAAATGGGGCAGCAGCTGACCTTTGGAAACCTAACAGCTCTAGAGTGAAATGCGGTGGCTGCTGGCTGAGGGAACAGCAGCTTGAGTTTGCTTGGAGGTCTGCACTGCTGCACATTGGTGGCTGTGCTGAGCACCATGACACTGCTGCTAAAAACTGCCATGAAACAAGCACACAGCTCTTCCTCAGTTACTGCACCCGCTCACAGATGCCACTAGCCTGTCTCAGGGTGCTAGGACGCTAGGCACACCGCAGTCCCTAAGCACCAAGAAAAGCTGCAACCCCTGTCAGAGGCACAGGTCTTAAATCTTGCCTGCCTTTGCTGTGCCCAGTTCAGCTGGAGCTCATTCTCAGGTCCTCTTGGAGAAAGGCTGCCTGTTGGCCCAAGGGCTGTGACAGCCAGGTAAAATGACTCGGCATGCCAGTGAGGAACCAGCAGCTGCTGGAGGTATGCTCCGGGGAACCTATCTACGGCTTCCCCCCCTGCTCCCATGAGACAGCTCGCTTGTTAAAATCCCAGTGCAGCACTCTGGGATGAGGCACGGAGGAATTTATTTCAGTGCCAATGCTTCTTTTTTGGAATCTCCCCATAAAATCCTGGCTCCACGTGCGTTTCAATATTTTTATTTGTGATTTCACAGCATTTTCACAATTTCCGTCTCTATTTTACACTGCCAAAAGTAGCCTTACTAACATAAACTCCTTTCTACTGGCTCAGTGCCTTTGTTAGCCGAAATTCTTGAACATATAAGTCAGCCAAAAAGTGGCTATAATCAAGGAACAAGAAAAAGCCACATGGAGGTGAAATCAAGGAAAGCTGGTTCACGTGGTTCAGAGACATTGGAGCAGAAGCCCATAGACATTTTAGGAAAAAGCTCTGACTTTGATAAATAAATCTGGCATAGTTAGAGAATACTTTATTTCTGGAGTGGACTGAAACATTAAATGGCAGTAGCTGGGGCACATGCTACGAAGCAGGACCTGGATAAAAATCTTGCCTTTGTAAGCTTCTTTCCCCTTCCTATATAACTGCAAGTTAGAACTATCACTGAAGGCATAATCCTCTGCCCAAGAGGCTTTCTTACTCCACAACAGGACATCAGCTTTTGTTCTTGGAAACTCATGCTGGTTGGTACTCATTTCCTTTTTCCTTCTAGATGTTTACAAACATCAATAGGTTGTTCCACTGTTTTTCTGAGAAGTAAAGTTAAACTCTCTAATTCCCCAATTTCTCTTGGGTGAGAGTACTTTCCTGCAAAATGGGAGCTAAATCAAGGAGGGTGCCAGCAAGGGCTCCCACCCTGTGATTCCCACATAGGGGGAACTCCCCAGAGGCCAAGGGCTGTGGTCTGTGGTGAGGATGGTCACTGCCCTGTTCTGATGGTTGGAGCACAGCGACTTTGTGGCATGAGAGCACTGTCAGGCTGGGGCACCGAGCTGCATCTGAGATGCAGGATTTAGCCTTGACTGTGACCAACGCTTTAGCTAAGGTTTTAAAACAATCTGGTTTGCAGCCTGTGAAAGCCCAGAGGAGTGCGAGAGACACTGTAAAAAAAACAACTCAGCAAGCAGTACTGCCAACTAACTCTGGTTTCCTTCAGTCCTTGCTGGAATATCATTGCTGAATGTGCCATGGAGAGTCATTTCTTTGGAACACTACTGAGATGACCAAGTATTTGCTGCAGAGTGCCAACAGGCTCATGGAGCCCCAAAGCCACCTCAGCCTGCATCCTTGTCCCACCATTAGAATGTCATGATGGCTTGAAAGGGCTAAGAAAGCCCCAGAGACTCCAGCTTTAAAGTGCCTGTGAAAGAGGGACCAAGATAATTTTGATCAATACAGCAAATTTCGGCAACTGCTGGGTGTGTGCAGTTCCAAAGGCCAGGAAGGTTTCCTCTAGGAGGGAGAGCAAGGGCTCTGATAGCACTTGTGTAAAGCCACTGGATTTGCATTCACTTGGGTATTCATATGCAAGGCAGGAGAACAAGCTGAAGACAATTAAAACCACGAAAGACAGTCTGTGCATAGGTGTTTATGATGCCTCTGAATGAGCTGTCATCTTTCCTGTTTCAGACACAGTGCTAAATAGATTACTTGAAATGTAGCTTTCAATCCTCAGTGCTACCAGGGTTGTTAACACAGGCTGAGCGACACTTGCACTGAGGAGTACAGACATGACAAGGCAATTTCAGAAATACGTATGCACAACCTCCACCCACATTTTTTTTAGGGTTTTAGAAACAAAACCAGCACAACATCCGGAGTTGGGAAGTAAAGAGATGGAGATGGGTCGTTCTGGTTCAAATGCATGTACCCAAAATGTGAGAATTATGGGAGCACATGAGTTCGGAACATTTTAGCTCAGCATTCTGGCATTTTTGCAGGAGCAAAGCAGCAAATGGCAAAACCTTTTCTGGAGGGAGCAGAGAGGGAGCCTGCAGGGCAGAATAGCCCAGGCTGTCTGCGCTCAACAGAGCTGCTCTGATACACAGCAATGCCTGCTCTTCCAGGAAGGCAGCTGTGGTCTGATGACCATGTGCTCTTGTTCTGTGGCTCCCCACTGAAACACAGGTGGGCTTGTTGGTGGGCTGTCCCAGACCTGCAGCTGACTACCTCTGCAGTCACTGGCTGGCAGCTTTTGCTACAGGTAGGATTGCAGGGATGGGGCAGCCCTGGCTGCAGTGCCCTCCTCCTTGCCTGTCTGCTTCGGCTGCAGCTTCAGCTGTGGGACCGCAAAGCAATGGGGGTCTGGGGACACTGCTCCTGACACATCTCCACAGCAGCATGGACTTCTGGACATGCGGAGGCACTTGCTCAAGTGTTGTGCAGCTCAGACAGCCCCCCTGAGCCTATTTCACCTTTCCTGTGGGATTGGGAGAGCTGGATCCCAGCTTCCCAGCCACCGCTGCCTTGCATCTGCACTGCAGGAAGCCAAGGCCCCCACTCATGAGGGAAGGATCCAGTGCTGGATCTGTTGCCCACAAGGAAGCTGCTCTGAAGCCAAATCTGAGATTTCCTTGACTCCAGAGTCTCTGTGGGCCCCCACCTCTGGTTGGACACCAGAGCTGAGAGTAGGGTGATTGTTTTTCTGGGGATCTTTTAAGCAAGCACCTAGACATAGCAGGACACTGCAGATCCACTGGAGCAAACAATCTTCTCCACTTTCCCCCAGCTTTAGCAGGACTCGAGCATCCCAAGGTATTGCTTCACTCCTCTGCAGGGCTTAGGCATGGCTGATGCTGAACTTGGTGCAGGGCCACTTGGGCTCCCAGGCACTGCTAGGTCTCAAACTCACACTCTAAATCAGAGGGAACTGCTCAGAGGCAGCACAAACTTTCTTTGTTGCAGCTCCATTCATGTTTCTGGACAATTAAGGAGAGTTAAGCTTATTTGCTGGGCCTCTTATTGGGTCAGCATGCCCTGGTGAGTGACAGCTGCTGAAAGTGCGGTGAGAGTTTCCACACACTCAAGAGCCAATGGAAAATGTGGAAGCTCAGTAAGGTTCTGTGACTTCTGGTTTGCTCTCAAGACACCAGAGTGTGCTCCTGACTCAATTCACCAGCTACCAGCAACTCAATTTTTTAAGAACAAGGGTGCTCAGCATGGGACATCCTCAGGACAGGTTGCCTGCCCGCCTGCTGTACTCCCCCTTTCATTTGGTTTATGTTTATAGGAAATATCCCTGCCTAGATGGAAAGCCACATGAAAGAACTTTACTCTTGCTTCCTCTGCTTGCAGAGTACATTCTTGTCAGGACATGTGCCTTGTGACAGGTTGAGAGAGCACATTTTGAGGAAGGGAAACTTTCTGACAACTCATCCCTCAAAGACAGACAGACAATGACACTCCCAATGGGCTCGATCCTCACCAGGAGGAGGCAGCACCTGACTTCAGTCATGATGTGCTAATTTACAACAGAAAAAAATCTGGCTAAAAGAGCAATGGAAAAAGCAGTGCTGGACTGCCCCTCAAAAGGATGCAAAGCCTGTCACCCAAAATAACCCAGGAGATGGTCCCTGCTGCAGATAACTGACATTTAGCAGCTCCGTGTGTCACAAGCAAATGTCACAAGGAGACCAACTGAAGGGGGAGGTGCTGGTGTGGCAAGAGACAGGCAATCCTCTTCCAGGAGGAAGCCTGGATGGCTGAGGGGGTCCTCTCCAAGTGCCTTCTTTGGACTATAGGTTTCTATGTGTGCAGAAAGGGACGTTCCCTGAGCAGTTCTCCATTTTTCCCTCTTAGGCTTCATGCAGCTTCCCCTGGCTTTAAAGCCAGAAGATGAAAATGAAGAGAAATGGAGAAATGGAAAGGACATATTTTCTCTCCAATTCTTTATGCAGGCCACCTGTCCCACATCCCTTCCCATTGCTTCTTTAGAAGACAGAGATTTCAGCCACATCATATACTGCTAACAAGGGAGGGAGCCGGCTCTGTAAACCTTCCACTCAAGGCTGAACAGAGAGGTGAGAGCTTTTACTGACAAAAGATTGAGTAAAGACAAGCAACGTTTACCCAATTCGTTGATATTATTGGAAGAATCACATACCAGGACTTCCACAGCTGAAGCTATGAAAGACATAAACACATCTACTTCAAAGGCCCTTACTCAAAACTGAACTGGGATGCAATAAATCAGCCCCCACATTCACACCAAAAAAAAAAAAAAAAGAAAAAGAAGAAAGAAAGAAAGAAATAAGGGAAGGAAGGGGAAAGTCAGATTAGTCACAAAGAAGTTTCCCCGCCTGTTTCTCTCTGCACTTAAAGCAGCTTCCTGAAGGCACTGTCTTCACTTCATCTCTGTCCCTGGGACAGGAGCACATAGCTGATTTGCCCCCTACTCTTCCAGACTCCTGCTGTGCTCTTGTCCCCTTCCCCAGCAGTTGCTGGCAGTGCAGCTGAGATGGAAGGACAGATAAATGTAGAGCTGAGAAACCAAAACCAGATGGATCAGGAAAGGAAGCCTGCAGAGAATGAGGGGAAGAGCTGGCAAAAAGGGCAGGTTAGGAACACGCTGCACCTTGTGTCTGCGACTGCTCAGTGGATTTTACTGCTTGCCTGCTTGATTTACCTTGCTATAGGTTCTCTGCAACCCTCAACGGTAAGAGCTCATGTTCAGCCCATTGTCTGCTGGCCTGTAAAGCTTTGTATGGATTTTATTTAATGCTTCTTTTTTTTTCTTTCTTTTTTTTTTTTTCTTTAAGAAAACAAAACCCAAAACCATTTAGGTTTATCCCTATTTAACCCACAAGTTTTTAACCCTTTCCTTAATGATTTCAGCTCTTTCTTTTACATTTCCTGTCCTCAGAACAACATCCAATATTGCCCAGTGCAGGCTTGGTGAAGGTGTCTGGAAGGGGGATTGTTCCAGGAATGCTCTTTGCTCTGACCCCTGGGGGAGGGAAGTCTGCCTCCCTCTTGCTCCTGCCACTGCTTGCAGTGGCTATTGTGTATTTCCATTTAATTATGGAAATCTGGGTGGGTGGTTCACTTTCAACAAGTGCATGGGGAAGAATCAGGATTTTATGACCAGGTTGCTCATAAACATACCCTGAATTTTTTAAATATACTATATGTACAGGCAGGATACTTGAAACTTGAAATGCTTTAGCAAAAACTACAGCAAATACATTTGCTTTTTTCATGTGTTTGCAGGCTGCTGGATTGACAAAAACCATTCACTCCTATTTCAGTGCCACTTATGCACTAGCTACTTCTACATTTTCTCCAGGAGTTACATACTTCTTTAAAGCTTGTCCTTTGTCTTACCAGAGTTTGTTCTTTCCTCCCACTTAGAGTTGGCAGAAAAGCAAGCCAAACATGTAACTGTGCAAGGGAGGGATAGCCTCATGCTCTGGGTCCTCTGCTGTTTAATGAAAACCCCTGTGTTCTGCACAAGATTCACTGACCTGAAACTCATAGTGGTTATTAATCTACAGAATGATGACCCTGATAACCCTGAAAGATAGCACTTTTCTTTCAGCTTAGTCCTCCTTCTACTACTTTGGAAGACAGAAGCTGTACTGGAAGCCAATAGAGAAGGGCAAGCTATCAGACCGCTCAAGGTGCAGAAACCTCTCTTGGTGTGTCAATCCTCATCCTGCTGTATCTCTCTTTTCTGTAAAACTGTTAACTCAAATCTTCCTTTGAGAGGAAGATGGCAGGGGCTGGCATTGCTGCCTGTAAGCATTACAAATCCAAGAGAGCGGCAGCTGAGGAGGAGACATGCCTGAAGTTTCTCTTCCTCCACACAACCAACCAAAAGAGGGTGCTTGAGGAGCACTGACTGCAGCACACGAAAAGTCCAGCCCTGGGACTGTTTATAGTTCCTGGACTCTGTAATAGTAAACACTTGCTACCTGCGGGCTCAGAACTGGTTCCTATTATTTTAAGCAGATGACCATGGTGTCCTGTTTTGACTGCACTGTGCTGTGCAGGAGCAGTCTTGCAGGCTGTACACAGCGGGATTTCATTATACTGCAATTCCTGGCCTCAGTAGGACAACCATGAACCAACCATATGCATGTCTGTAGGAACAGGCAGCAGTACTAATCTGACTTGACTCTCATGGCAATTTAGGGTGATAGACTTTATGGAAGTAGGGGCACAGTAACATTAGAGCAGCAGGTTGGGAGCCCAGACCATGCTTAACAAAAAGGGACAGTGATTTGGATTGTGTCATGATGCTGCCTGGTGAGCAAGCCTCAGCTGTGATTTCCAAATAAGCAAGTTTAAAAAAAGGTAGTGATAGTCTGCTCTTGCGTCTGCAAGGCTTTGTGAGTTCTCATCTGTGCTGAAGTTACCTTTACTTCTTCTTGCCACACCAGCCGAGATCAGGCATGGCAAGCCACTCACAGGTGCGATCAGGGGAGGGAAATCTCCCCCAGTGACAAATGCACAGGAGGTAAAAGCCTTGAGCAGCTGTTGGGACTTCAGAAACTTCTAATGATCTGTTGCAGGTGGTTTTGCGTGAACAGGGCAGGAAAAGGTGCAGGAGGAGTAACCGTGTAGAGGTTTGGTGTAGATAAGAAAGATATACCCATAATCCTAATATCTCATGGTGTGAAAAAGGTACAACCCACTTCCAGTGCAGTCATCTGCAATCCGTGTGACTGACAGGGCATCATGCACCATCTCAATGGACCTTTCAGTCAGCACATGCTGCTACAGTCTCCCAAGATCCATGCTTTGTGCAGTACAAACCTATTCCTGAAATGGGTGGCAAAGCTCTAAATACAGTGTCTAAGATAGGAGAAAGTCTCATGTTTGTGTATCTGTGTAACTCTGTGTGTAAATGATACGGGGAAATCTGAAGCTGTCAGAAAGGCGCACCTCTGTGCCCTCAACCCTCGTGGCATCCTTTCCTGCATACCATAAGAAGACAGAACAGGGAAAGAGAGGCAACTAACCTTATTGGTAGTTCACAGATGTCCTTCCAGTCCTACAGGTATGTTCTCTCCTTAGCAGAATTTACCAGTAGACAATTACAAAGTGCTTTGAGCTCTCACAGTAACTGGCAGTTACCTACATTATTGACAATGGGGCTGATATTCTTAAAATTACTACAAGTTGGTCACCCAGCCTGCCTGTGTTTAATATACCCTGTCCATCAGTGGCCAGATTGGACAGGCTGTGGTGGGTATTGTTTGACCTCAGAAGCTCAGCAGTCCGGTCTGTGCTTGGCTGTTGCTTTCCTGGGAAACTACCTGGAAATCCCAGCTGCCTGAGTTAAATGCTCATGCACTTAGGTGACTAGAAAAAGAGTAAGTGTAAGACTCAAGCTGCTGAGGCAATGAATAGGACCAGTAATGCTGAGGAGATAGCTCCACCAAAGCCAGGTGCAGTAAAAACTTGCATTTGGTAGCTGAATCCAGCCTTGCTAGTGGAGCCAAGCCGCAGAGCACCAGTTGTGGGAACACTAGAGGGTGCCAGAGCAGATCTTTTCCACCTCCAGCGCCCAGCATCCACCTCACCCTCCGACACAAGGCAGCCCGATTCCAAACTCATCTCCTGCTGCTTGCATTTACCGGGGCACAGCACTGAACCTTCAGGGCTGCATGACAGTGCTCACTCTCTATCTATTCCAACACTTTTCCAGTACTCAGAGTGAAAGGACTGCTCTGCTCCTGTAACACACGAGGCCAAATACATGAAAGTCAGCCCAACACACATCTTACTAGCTCACATTCTCACTTAGGAAACATATGACATAGGTAAAGAGAAGAACACAGAGCAGCAAAGCCTAAATCTTTCACTCTTTAATCAGGCAAAATGCTGAAGACTTGTGGTTGTGAAGAGACTGCAGACTTGGGTCTCCTGTGGTTAAGATAAGAGATGGGTTTGAGATGCAAGTTCAGATTTAAGAAATCTAATTCAGAAGCTTGGTGTTTTGAGTATCTGATCAGGAAGATATGCACTTCTGTATTTGCATTCACATTTTCTGTTATACTTATAAAATGCAAATCAATTTTAAATGCCTTAGTGTACTTCTAAGGGATCCACTAAGAGACACGCACACAGTGACAGCCTGTTCCAAAGTACAGGAACCATGAAGGCAGACGCACCTCTTGGTGCCCTGCTGGAGGAGGGTGAGGCAACAGGGGCACATCTAGGTCCCAGCTCTGTAAACAGGCACCCCTGGCTGTATGTCAGACTCAAGGGGCTCATTCAGAAGAGGATTTGCACAACAAGGTCCTTCCTTGCTGTTTGGTCTGGATCGATGTAGTTCACTGGGATGTTTTTCCAAACAGGAGCAACACTACCTGATGTGTTCTCGAGGGCTCAGCACTGGCTGTAAGTTGGCTGGCTATGAACCCCTCTAAAGTCGTGCTTTATAATGATGATATAAGAACAAGTACAAAGCAGGTGCCAGGAGAGGCTGCACACAGAGGCATGGCTCTGGTCAGGAAACAAAAGTGGCAGCAGCAAGGGGCTGCTCGCATGGTGCGCTAATAGGAATTCCTCTTCTTTCTTTTCAGCCTTGGAGTAGCCTTCACTTGGAAAAACTGCCGTGGACCCATATCCGGTACACAGGTGGGTGGCTTTCATGGCAGGGTCACCATGAGGGCTCCCAGAGCACTTCCTGTGAAAGGTTCCCCAGTACCTGCGGCGGCTCCTGGCCTCCCACTCTGCCCCACACTGACTCGCGGTCCCCAGGCACCGCTGGTGGCCCCTCAAATGCTGGAGGCTGTTAAGTGCTTTTCATCACACCAGAGGCTGTTTCTTCTGATGGAGGAAGGCGTCAGGAGAGCTGTCTCAGGGGAGAGGGGCTAAACGTGACCTGGTGCTGCAAGGTGCCAAAACCAAACAAAAGGGTTTTCCCAGAGTAGAAGAAAAGACTGAAAATCCATGTGGATTTCTGCAGTCCTTACCTACCTACTGAAACAAGCTTTACTCTGGGAAAGAATAAAAACAGTAGTTTTGAGAATTTTCTGAGAACACCCAGAGTGCTTTTGGGGTATTTCTGACTTCCTGGTTTATGAAAGTTGTAAATGGTTTCCTGGGAAGAGTGAGCGAGCATACACATGGTAGCAGAAACAGCAGTGCTCTGTGTGCAACTGCATGGGACGCTCTGTCTGATGACACACCTCTACGATAGAAGCAGATACTAGAGTTTTTAAATTGTACTAAAAAAATGTTGATATTGTTAGTATTGGAAGGTACCAGCGGGTCTAACCTAATAGAAACCGAGGTTCTTAGAGAAATTTGCTCTCAGCTCAGAGGGGCTGTGCTGCTCATCAGGAAACCTTCTGGGTCCCCTGGCCCCTGGGGTTTCAGCTGAAAGCCCAGGAGCACAGCAGGGAAACATTTCCAGCATAGCCCTGGGAACTGCTACTGATCATTCCAAGAGAAAACCTTCCATGCAAAGTTTGTTTTAATTTCTCCTAACTCTGCTCTGTATCCATTTGTTTCTTCCATTTCTGTCTCTACACTTCTCTTTTACCCTGTCTTCCATTAAGAAAAAACAAAGCAACCAAACCCAGAGAAATGTTCGTTGTGTTATGTTACTGGCATCTCCACAGAAAGCACTTTTTCTCATCCTTCCAGTTCTGAACACTTGCCACTCTTCTTATTTACTGTTTATTTACTTATTTACTTTCTTTATTTTCAGTTCTTTTTAGGAGTCTGTGCTTCCTAAACTCACAGAGATGCTTTACTTACATTTTAATTAAGATATAGAGTAAATAAACATGCATTAATAGAAACTTGGAGGAATAATTTGTATAAACTGGAGCTGTAGTCTGAAGAGCCCAGCTTGCTCAGGAGTGGGAATCTGGAAATTTCCACTGTAGATGATGCCTGTTTAGAGCAGATGATACTTCAGCTTTGGTCTGCCCTATTCTCTAGTTCATTCTCTTCCTTTCCTATATTTTTCCACCCTTCCTGCAGTCAGTCTGTATAAAACAACCTATTTCCAAGAAGGCATTTGTCATCATGGGACCGTCTTTACTTTCTTATGTTCCAGGAGAAAGCATCAAAGGAGTAGCCATGAATTTCACTCCTTATGCAGGCACTATTCAGATCAAAAATGGTTCCATCATGATCAGCTGTGATGGCCTCTACTTAGTGTCCTTGAAGGGCTTTATCTTTTTTGCTGACTTGGAAGAGGGGGACTTGTGGAAGCTAACACTGCAGAAGACAAACAAGGAAACCAGCAGGCCCCTCTGGGAGCAAACAGTACAGGAAAGGGACAATGAAATAAATCTCACCATGGTGCTCTTCTTGTTTGAGAAGGATTACATCACCCTGTGGACCAATTCCAGTGCCAACATTACGGGTTTGTCGTTTAGCCTTGTGTTACAAAGTCCCTTCAATTGCTCTCATCTTCAGTCATAGAAGATGAGAAGATATGAAATGTAACATGTAAAGTACAGCGTTTCCTACCAATCTATTTGCCTGTGGGAGGTTTGCTCTCACTGGCTCTACTTGTACAGGCAGACAGCTCTAGCCTCCCTCCTTACGGCTGCAGAAAGCCTCAGCTGGAGTGCAGATAAATCACAGTGCGAACGGGGTTTATACAGTGCATGCTGTGCTCGTCTCTTTGGAGCAATGTGCAGCTGTTTTGCTACCCAGGATGGATCTTTCTAGCTCTGGAGAAATGACTATGCAGAGCCCTTGAGGAGAACAGAAATGAAAGCTGAAGAAAGTCACCTAAGCTTAGCTCATATTCAGAGAAACCCCGTGTTTCTGTTTACCTGACAGTATCTGTATATAGTACAAAATCACTGTACATTTGCTAAAATAAAAGGCTGGTAAATCAGGAAGATACCTCAAGTGTCTTGAAGCCATTTGGAGAAGGAAGAGAACAGATCTGCTCAACAGCTCTTTGCCTGGCAAGGCAGGAGACAGGCAAGAGGCAGCAAGGGACTTCCTTTGCAGTCATCCAGATAAATCCTCTCTGACAGGTAAAGGCTATGAATGGAAGGTGTTATTTTGAAATGAGCTGACAGGACTGCACTGGACAACAGAAATGCAGTTTCTGCAGTGACTATGAGGCTTTTAGCAGCAGCTTGTGAGTGGAGGCCCACTGGCTGTTCCAGCTATGCAGACTACTGAAACCTGAGACAAGGGAATTCTGGTGGGACATTTACGTCTTGAAACCAGCTCTCAGAGTTGTTAAGTTGAAGAAGAATCTCCTTTGAGCACGCACACACACACGGACTGGCTTGATCCAAAAGTGATCCAGGCACATAAAAACTTGGAAAAATATGACAACTCCAGATTTGATGAGTTGTCTCTAATGAGCCAAGTGAAACCTGCACCTCTGCTCACCCTTTCCTTTGGGAGGGCTCAGATGGCTCCTGGGAGCTTCACAGTAGGCCTTGTCATATAAGTATGCACCACAGAAAGATTCACAGGCACAACCTCCATGATGTGCCTGTGCATCCACATGCACCCTGCCTTAGCTTCTGTGGAAGTCAGACTGCTGTCACTGATCCTGCGCTGCACAGCTCTTGTTAGTGCTTGTGGCTGCTGAGGACAAATCCTGCTCTGCCCTGTGCTGCAGCCAGCACATGAGCTGAGCACTGCCAGTGACTTCTATTTTTTGGTTGAAGTGGGGCAGATTTCAAATTGACTACCTGGCTCCCACTGAGCTCCAGCAACATTTCAGCATCTCGCTGCTGGCTGGACAATCCAAAGTATTTTAGAATCATAGAATCATAGAATAGTTAGGGTTGGAAAGGACCTTAAGATCATCGAGTTCCAGCCCCCCTGCCATGGGCAGGGACACTTCACACTAAACCATGCCACCCAAGGCCTAGTCCAACGTGGTCCAACCTGGTAAAGCAAGTTACATTTTTACTACAAGTAATTGAAGATTCCTGACTGAACAAGTGTTTCTGGTATCAAACCTGGTGAGGGCTGGAGAAGACAAATACAACAGTGCATGCTGAAATTTGGGCAAAAAGAAGTGGTGCTCACTGTGAAGGCAGCTGAAAAAGTGGTAATCCTCAGTGATGTTCTGTTGTTACTGGAAAGTTAAAGTTTTCATCTGCCATTGGCTTTCCTGTAAATATGAAAAAAACGTATAAAAAGTCAGCAGACATTTGACAACAAAATCTCTGTAGCTGGTTGCTGTTTTTCTCTGCTTTTTCATAGCCTTCGTTGTCCCTCCAGCATTACCAGGCAGAGGCAGCAATTCAGTGAGGAGAGCAGCAGTCTGTGGGGAGGAGTACCCCACAGACCTTTGGTGAATGCATCAGCCTTCTTTATCCTCGTGTTTTTCTGTACTCACTACAGATGTGAGTTAATGAGACTGGCAAAATTGTATCACAGACTCTGTAGCTGTAATAGTGCTGGCTTTGGTTTCTTGCCCTGGGCCTTCTTCAGTCTCACGTGCTACAGAGCAGATTTAACTGTCCAACTTTCACTTTCTTTCAAGCATTAGTTTATATGTCATAGAATCATAGAATCATAGAATTGTTAGGGTTGGAAAGGACCTTAAGATCATCTGGTTCCAACCCCCTGCCGTGGGCAGCGACACCTTACGCTAAATCATATCACCCAAGGCCTCGTCCAACCTGGCCTTGAACACTGCCAGGGATGGAGCATTCACAACCTCCCTGGGTAACCCATTCCAGTGCCTCACCACCCTAACAGGAAAGAATTTCCTTCTTATATCCAACCTAAACTTCCCCTGTTTAAGTTTTAACCCGTTACTTCTTGTCCTATCACTACAGTCCCTAATGAAGAGTCCCTCCCCAGCATCTCTATAGCCCCCCTTCAGATACTGGAAGGCTGCTATGAGGTCTCCACGCAACCTTCTCTTCTCCAGGCTGAACAGCCCCAACTTCCTCAGCCTGTTCTTATGCCTATAGTGTAAATACATTTTTTACATTATAAATACTTTTTACAAAAGGACTAGAAGACTACAGAAGGACTAGAAGACTACTAGAAGGACTACAGAGCCCTGGGAGAGGTGGTTAGGGGCTCTGGAGCTCAGGTGGTCTTTTCATCAACTCTCCAGGGTACAGGGGAGGACCTAAACAAAGCTAGGAGGATTAGCCAGGTTAATAACTGGTTAAAAGGGTGGTGTCATAGTCAGGGCTTTGGGTGTCTTGAAAACGGGGCTTGTCCTTTCCAACCCTAACTATTCTATGATTCTATGATTACTTCAGAGTTCTTAGAAACACTGGGAAGGGCTCAGACTTTGGGTTGTCATCACTAAGCTCCTCTTTGCAGATGCTCCCAATGCCCGGAGCGGAACATTCCTGCTGCGCAGGTACCCTGTTGCTGCCTGCCTCAGCTCCCAGCTCCTACTCCTGGCTGAGCACTCCTGCAGGATAAGGTGCCAAAGGCAGCTAAGGCAATCTTCCAAGCCGTGGTGAGCTTTTCTGCATGCTTTATGCTATTGTTGGCAGGTTTTATGAACATCCCTTCCTGGGGCCAGGCAGCAGCCCCAGGGGAAACCTCCACTGAGTCAGTGTTCATGCTGTGCCAAGCAGCAGCTTTTTCTCAGGACTGAGAAGCTGTGGGCTGACTTTCACCTGCAGGATGTTTCTTCCCAGCTACAAGGGGCATTTTGGGCTTTTACCTCTGGCCATTCTGCCCACCACTGGCACCAAAGGCAGTTGCAGCCTGCTCCCAAGCTGGGGATTGTCACACTCCCCAGCTGAAGTAAGAATGTGTTTCCCCTCCTAAAATCTGATAAAACTTCTTTGTAATGTCTGGGCTTGCAGGGACTGGTGAACTATACATTCACTGGGTTTGAGTAAACATTTTCACTCGTATGAAAACTATATGAAATTTTCACATATTTTCTGTTTTTACAGTTCAGCTACAGTTTCAGCTCTCCCCAGGGGTATGGGGTGTTTGTGCTTCTCAATGTGAACTAACAGAGCAGGCTGTCAGCATTGTGGACTGGGGTGCACAGCAAGAAAGGTTAAGCCTAAACAGCACAAATGGATTTGTACCTCAGAAGGGTGCACCCTTTCTTCTTGTTTAGAGCAGGAGAGTGCATTTCACACACTGATTCCTCTGCTCTTTCAGGCTGAGCTAGACTGATCTACATATATACATGTATATGCATGTCTTGAAATAAAGGTTGAAACAATTAAATTCCTGAGATTAGTTACTTGAGGGACTAACAATCCTCAACAGTAAGTTTCCATACCATCAGCTTCTGTTTATATCTGGTGACTCCTTCCTCCTTTTAACAAAGTTAAAAGTCTCTTTGATATAAGAAACATGAATTTTTGTTATTGGGATTAAGGCCTTGTAGAAGCTCATAGATGGTGCTAAAGTCCCATCTTACAGCTCTGTTCAACCTCAGGTCAGGGCGCAGAGGTTTTAGGTCACTCCCTGATGCTAATTGCAGGGTGTTGAAGTGGGGGCTGGACTAGGCAGTTTCTGGAGACAGTCTCTAACTCTACAGGGACAGCATGTTCCCCTTCCTGTGCTTGCTGCTACTGAAATGAGGCCTCATGGTCTGTCCCTTACAGGGCTTTTAATGAGACCATTTCGCAGAATACAGTAATCATCTGGGGATTACTGACTCCTCCATGATTTTAAAGCAATCTTTGCCACTGATGGCTTGTCTTTAACACACACTACTGCCTAATCTACAGAGGTGGCTACTATGTATTTCTTCCCTTCTGTCTCCTCTTTCCTACCTCCCCACTTATGTAAACAAGGGACAGGGTGACAAAGTTGATGTTGGTGCCACAGTCACTCTGGGGAAGAGGCTGGCCTCACTGCACCCATCAGAGATATGAGGCTCTTGCTCTCCAGCCGAGAAGAAACAACCGAAGGCAGTGCAGAGGTGGGAGCTGCTTCTTGTTACAAGCATATAAGAACAAATGATGGGAAGCATTTAATTTAAAATACATTCACTTACCTTCAAAAGTCATCTCCTTTTCTACCACCAATGGTTACCAGTAATGGTAGATAATGAGTCTGTGGCTTTTAGATACCACTTATATTTCATCAGCCAGCTTGAGTCACAGCAATTGCCTGTTCACTCCGTTAGTGACAGAGAACAAGAGAGCTGGAGTACGCTTAGCAAAGTGCAATCACTCCCACTACCATAGGGCTAGCAGAAAGAACAGGAATATAGTTTTCATATTCAAGTACCAAAATGGGAAAGTATGACACAAAATCCAACAATCTATCTCCCACAATAACTGGTTGAGAAGGTTTAACTTATTAGACTTTTTTCCAGCAACATCTGTAACTTCAACTGTAGAGCTGTTCTCTGAGCTGACTGTTGGTTATTATTGCCCAAGGGATCCAGGCCAGCCCCAGGAATGCTTGCTTCCAGCTATGTGGTAGTCCACCAAGTAAAGCAAATGGAGTAACACCCACTGAGGACTGGGAGGAGGGGAGTTTGTACCGAGCCAGAAAGGGACAGCTGCAGAAAGATTTATCATTTGCCATTTGCAGCATTGTATGCTCTAAGGCCAGGGAGGTTCAGAGAGCTTGTTTGCTTGGTTCTCTAAGCTGATGAGGAAGGATGTGAACAGCAAGCAACCTGTACAAGCAGAGTGGAGGCTGAAGGCACGTCTCCCCATTAAGGTGCCAAGCAGTGAGCTCACTTGGTGGCAGCTGTTCAGCACCCCAGGGCAAAACATACTCTGCCAGCACTTGTGCTGTGTGGAAGGGGCTCACTGTGCTCACCGCGCTAGGAAGCAGGAGCCTGAGGACTAGAAAACTCGCAAGCCAAGGCAGGAGGGGCTGACCTGTCTCAGAGGAGATGAGCATGAGGAAGGACACAGGGCAGGAAGCCCAGGGAAGCACAGGGCTTGAGTTAGGACCAAGGAGAGTTAAGG